GTAGCAGTGTTTTTGTGTCCCAGTGTCTATGTCTTAATGACTATATGCCTCAGTGTCTCTGTGTTACAGTATCTTTGTAGTCTTAGTGTCAATATTGTTAAGCATGTGTGTGACCAAGAATCTTTGTGTTTCTACAAGTCAGTTTCAGTGTATCCCAGAGCCTGTGTTTCAGGCTGTCTTTCTTATATATCAGTGTCTGTATGTTTCTGGGCCTGTGTATGTTTCATTGTCTATGTTTCTCAACGTCAGTGTGTCCCATTGTCAAAATTCTAGTGGCAGCATGTTTCATTGAGTCTCCAGTTTCAGTAGTTCTGTGCTAAGTGTCTTTGCATCTCTGTGTCCCTATGTCCCTATGTATCAGTGTTCTACGTATATGTTTATATATGTTCAACTGTCTCTATGACCTAGTGTCTGTATATTCAATAATTTTTGTCTTTGTGTCTGTTTATCCATTTTTTTTTTACCCAGCGTCTGGCATGTCTCAGTGTCTGGAATGCTAATAATCTGTATATCTCAGTGTCTGTGTATGTCCTGGAGTCTGTGCTATTTAGATTCTGTATATCCCTTTTCCTGTTTATTAGTTACTATACATCCAGTGTTTGTGTGCTCCAGTGGCTGTGTATTCCAGAGTAAACATGTTGTGGTGTATCTGTGACTGTTTTTGTGTGTGATGGTTTCTGTACCTCAGTTTCTACATGTTTTTGTCTACATATCCCTGTGTCTACGTGTCCCAGTGTTTGTGTGTCCCAATGACTGTGTATCCTAGTGTGTGAATATTTTCCAGTACCTGCATGTCCCAATTTCTAAGTACTCCAGAGTTTGTGTTTTTCAGTATCTGTGTATTAATGCATGTATTTCTGTGTCTCTGTGTCCCAGTGTTTGTTTGTCCCATATCTGTGCACTGCTACTTTTTTGTTCCCAGTATCTGAGTGTCCCAATGACTGTATCCTCCAGTATCTTTACATCCAATTGTCTTTGCATGTCATGGCTGTGTCCCAGTGTCTGTGTATCTCAAAGTTTCTGTATCCCAGTGCCTGCCTACTCCAATAGCCATAAGTTCTAATATTTGTATTTACCCCTATGTACCAATGTTTATGAATCCCAGTGTTTTTGGATCTATGTGTCTGCTCTCAAAGTCTATAAGGCACCAAATGACTGTGTGTCAACAGTGTCTGCATATTCTTCAGTGTCCGAACAACACAACCTCTTTATCTGCCTGAATAACCCAGTGTCTGTTTGTTCTAATGATTGTGTGTTCCAGTATCCATCTCAGTGCCTGTGTATGTCCTAGTATCTGTGCTCCTCAGTTTCTGTATGCCAGTGTTTGCATATCCAGATGAGCTGCATGTCACTTTGTGTCTCTTAATTTCAATCTGTCTGTGAATTTCCATATCTGTGTCCTAGTGTCTGTGTCACAATGTGTAGAAACCTAGGTCTATGTAATTCCATGCCTGTATGTTTATGCCTCAATGACTATACGTCCCAGTGTTTATGTGTCCCAGTGCCTGTGTACTTCAGTGTATATATATATATATATATATATATATATATATATATATATATATCAGTGTTTGCTTGTTCCATTGTTTGTGAATCTCAGTGCCTGTATGTCTCAGATATATATATATATATATATATATATCCTTGTGTCTGTGTGCCTCAGTATCTATATGTCCCAAGGTCAGCACATTTCTGTGTCTTTGAGCTTCATTTTCTATGCCCCAGTTTCTTTGTGCCCTAGTGGTATGTGTGTCCCTCTGTCTGTATATGCCAGTGAATGTGTGTACCTGTACCTGTGTACCAAGGTCTCATCCCATTGTTTTTGTATGTCTTGCATCTGTTCTAGTGTTTGTGTGTGTTGAGTATTTGTTAATACCAGTATCTCTGTGTGTTTTAGTGGTTGGCTATGTTTCCTGTTAGCTATAGGGATCTTATTATCCGTATGACAAGTGTCTTGCTGGGATCCAGTGTCTACATATTTCATATTTCAGTTTCTGAAGGTTTTTTATGTCTCAGTGTCTCTGGAGCTTTCATTGTATACTGTGGTCCAGTATCTATATGTCCTTGGTTCTCTAAGCCTGTGAGTTTCTGTGTCATATCCTTTATGAATCTCTGTGTCATCATACAGCTTACAAGTCTCTGTTTCAGTATCTGTATATCCCCATCTCTGGGTGACTCTAAGATTCTTATATTCTTTATGTCTGTTCTTTGTCTCTGTGTCCCAGGTCTCTGTGTTTTAGTGTCTCTTATCCTTGAGTTTTGCATATCTTGAGCCTCTGTTCTAGTATCTGTGTCTCAGTGTCTGGTCATTCAATGAGCTTATGTGTTTGAGAGTGTGTGTGTTCCTTTTGCTGTAGATCACTGAGTTTGTGTGTTCATGATACTTTACATGTCCCTGAATCTGCATATTCTTGAATCTTTGTGTATCCTTGAATCTTTGTGCATCCTTGAATCTACATGTCTCTGAATCTTTACATGTCCCCAAGTCTTTGCATATGACCTAGTAGCTATATACCTCTATGGCTGGTTGCTTATGAAATTTTGTGTTCCATTATGCATTTGCCCCATCTCTGTGTACTCCCAAGTCTTTTGTGCCTCTGAAACACTGTAATCCAGTGTACATGTGTCTCTGAGTCTCTATATTCTTGTATCTGGGTATCGCTGAGTCTTCATGTTCCAGTATCTTAATGCTCATGGGTCTGCATATACCTCCTTCCATGTACTTGGTGTCTGTATATCTCCAGAACTTTGTTGTCCATGTCCATGCCTCTATTGGTGTTTTGGTAGTTATCCTCTTGTCCATCTATTTCTCCCGTATTTTGTCAGTGTCTCTGTAGTTTTGCTTCATTTTGTTATTGTGGCTGTGTCTTAAGTTGCTCTGGTACTTGATGCCTTTCTTAGTCCCTAGGTCATTTTCTCTGGGTCTCTATGAATATGTTCCAGTTTCTATGGGTTTGTCTAGGTGTCTCCCTGTATCTCTTTCTATCTTACTCTATCCTGGTTTTGTTTTGATCTGATTCACCACATCTGTGTTCTCTGCCTCTCTGTATCTAGTTCCATGTTTTTTTTTAAATCCTTGAACCACTATCTTTAGGCCCCTGTGTTGAATTCACTGTCCCCATCCCTTCATTTGTGCTATTGGTTGCCTGTTTATGTGTCACTATTCTCGGTGTCCCTTCATTCTGTGTGTCTTTGTATTCCTGCCTCTCTGGATAGATTTCTTTGTCTCAATGTTTCTGCCCATTTGCTTATATTCTGTGTCTAGGTTTCTTTGTTCCTGTCTCTACCTTTCCAGTTGTGTTCCTGTGTCTAGCCTCTGTCTCATGTGACTGTGTTTGTGGGTTAACATTCCCATGTCTAATTGTTCTGGGTCTCTGTATTTGAATTCCTGTGTTCTTTTTGTCACTGGTCAAAATGTACCTGGGTCTGAACCTTGCCTATCCTTCCTTATGTCTCTCATATGGCCTAAACCCTATCTCTGCTGTCGTCACTGTTCAAGTACCTTAGACTCTTCTCTTTGTCTCTGGATCTCTGAATATATGAATCTGTGTTCCTGTCTGACTCTTTGTGTTCCTTTGCATGTGTCTATGTCTCTGGGTCTTTGTTATCAAATTTAGGACCGTGTAATGTCTCTGTTTTTACATCTTTGTATGTCTTTGGCTCTGTGTCTCCATGTTCTTTCATCTTCTTCCCTGTCTGCAGGTCAACATGTCAGTGTATCTCTGTTTTTTTTTTTTTTTTTTTTATCTTTCTGTCATTGGTATCTTAAACTTGGGTCCTGACCAGTGTCTCCCTAGTTGCCTTTGTGTCCCCGTATCTATGTGTGTTTTGATTTTCCTGTTCCTATGTCTAGATCTCTTTGTATATCTATTTCTAAGTTTATATGTTCTTATGGCTAAGTGTCTTCACATTAACCATTGAATGTATGTCCCTGAATTACCTTGTTTTTTTCTCCTTGCATTGTTGTGACAGGGACAGTAACTCAAAATCATGGGGTCATAGAGGCTCAGCAAGAGAGCATCTGTTTTTCTTTCTAGACTTTTATTCCTGATTCTGTTGCCTTTGTATGTCTGACTCTTTCTTTGTATGTCTGTATGTTCCTATATCCATGGTTTCTTTTGTTCTGATATCCCTGTGGCTTGTGTTTCCATAGTCTCTGTCCCTTTATTTCCATGTTTGTGTCCTTGTTGCTATCTTTCTGTGTGTAATTCTGTGTCTTTCATCGTGAGCATATATATTTGTGTGTGTACTGCTATTTCATGGGATCTCTTTGTTTATTTCATTCATCAGCAGATATTTACTAAGCACCTACTATGTGCCAGGCACTGGGGCTACATGGATAATTCAGAAAAGGCCCTTGCCCTGAAAGAGCTTACATTCTAAGTTAGGGATCCAGATGAGTAACTAGATGATTATTACACTGTATGATAAGTGCTGTAAACTAGAAGGGGATGGCATTAGGCTATAGGAACATGGAAGAAGGAGTCAAACTCAATCTAAGGAAAGGGTCAGAGAAGGCCTCTTAGAAGAGGTGGCAACTGAGAGCTGAAGGGTGAATTAAATTTACTTACATGAAGTAAAGAAAGAGTGTCCCATGCAGAAGGAAGAAATCATGCAAAGATCCAGTGATGGGAGGGAGTGTGGTTTGTTATGGAAATTCCAAGAGCCTTAAATATACCCTGAGAGCCAGAGAAAGTTGTGACCAGGACAAGAGACTCAGTTTTTGTTTTAAGAAAGTCACTTCCAGGGATGTTGTGAAGTATGGATTTGGAGGGAGTAGAGACTGGAGACAGGAAGGACTGTGCAGAGATAGGAATCCCTAAGCCTGTAGGTCCACAGGTCTGCATATCTACATGTTTATATATCATAGTATATGAATCTCTTAGCACATGTGTGAGTGTATGTGTTTGTGTCACTAGGTCTTTGTCCCTGGCTCACTCTATGTGCTGCCTTCTGGATGTCCCAAATTCAAGTCTTCTTGTTTTGGTGTTCAGGAACCATCACAGGACATAGGCAAGGTAGGGCTGGCCCAGCAGCTGCTCTACATGAGAGCGTTTCACCAGCCAGCAGGAAGCCCAGCGGGGCAGCAGCCTTGGTGACTCCTTCAGCAGCCTTTTGCCTAGAACTACAGGCACATCTGGATCTTGGTGCCTCCGCAGACAAGGCCCATTGGGCCCTCTCACTAGTTGGATATCTGTGTGCTGGAACTGCCCTGAGAAAGAAAATATCAGAGTTGTGTCCTTAGTCCCTGATCAGAGCTCTGAGAAGATCCTAAAGTAGGAAAACCAGAAGGAAAAGTAGGCAGGTGGATGGGAAGCAAAAGCCTGGAGAAGGGAAGAAGATGGTCACTGTGGGAAATATGGAGGATCCAGATGTGACAGGGGTGTAGTATTGAAGTAGGAAGCTAAGACAGATAAGATAGCAGAGGAAGGAGGACAGCCAGCTTTGGAGGAGAGACAGGGCAGATTGGGGGGAAGGAGAGAAGTACAGGGAGACCCAGAGGAGGAAAAAGTATCTGTCCAACCCAATGTCATTGTCCAAACTGTTGGGGGCCTCTTCCTTAGGTTCTACTAGTATCTCTGGACCTGCAGTCTCTTTCACAGTAGGATAAAGATCCAGAGAGAACTTAATAATACTCTCATCTGACTGTGTCTCTTCCCTGCTTATAACCTTTCATGGCTTCTCATTGTTTTTAGGATAAAACCAAATTCTTCATCTTGGCACCGAGTTCTGACCACTCCAGTTCTAGCTTCTCCAACCTCTATTCCTTTCACCCATATTCTTGCCCAGCCTTCTAGATGCAATGTAGGCAGTTTTCTTTTTCTCCTGTAGAAGGTCTTTCTTGAGCTTTGAGGCTGAGCAAGATCTCCCTCCCTGGGTTCTTCTAGTTCCCTAGACTACTTTCTATTCAGGATTGATCCATCCCTGTGATCACTGTTCATGTCTGGACCTTTCTTTTTCTCAGACCAGGAGTTCCTCAAGGGTAGAGCCTGCTCTGATTCCTCTTTGTGATTGGGTATTCAGAGTGCTGGGAGCCCACTGGCCTTTCATCCTGCCAAAGGTCTCTCTTGGGACTGGTGTTCCCTTGCTCCTCTCAGCCTTAGCAGTACTTACCTATTAGGCCACGGGCTGAGGAGCTGAGACCTGAGCCATTGGCCACATAGAATCCCAAGTGGGGTAGTTGTAGTGTGCTGGGATGTCTGTAGCGGTGCCGGAGGATGAGGAACTCAAGGTAGTTTCCAATGTGGAGAGTGAGGCGGGCTGCAGCAGCTACTTGGAGCTTTAGTTGGGGCTTCCTCACTAGTGCAGGCTGGTCCCAGGACAGGCACAAGGTGCTCTCACCTTGCACAGATATGGAACTACGGCTGATGGTGATAGTGTAGGCCTGAGGTTTGTCTGTAGTGATTTTGATGATCTGGAAGTAGGTGCGGGTCTGGTCCTTGTGGCCTGGTCTTGGTGGTGCTCCAAGCAGTTTCCCACTGACATGCAGCCCTGGAGCAAGGGGAGTGTGCATCCAGAGCATGGGCTTTCACCTGAGCATTCACATCATCACCCACAGTATGAGCAGGGATGAGGTCTTGGGGCCCAGGGTCCAGATGAACTACTATAGATATGTGGCTAGAAGTCTAGCTCGAGAGAAAATAATTCCACCATGGTCCACCCTCAGTTTTTTGTGTGTGAGGACAGGTAATATGTGTGCACATGCTCACCCCAGTGTGGTGATTTGCACATATATGTATGTGTTTACGAGAGAGAGAGAGAGAGAGAGAGAGAGAGAGAGAGAGAGAGAATGTTTGGTTATATTGGGAGGAGTATCTCTGGGCATGTAAGTGTATCTCCATGTTTGAAGAAGGTGGCATGATAGAGTGTGTCTTTTGTTTTATGTTAATGTATGCCTTGGATATGTTGGTGTTATATGATTTGGTACAATAGTGTATGTTGTGTGTGCCTGGTTGTATGTTGTATATACCGATGTATATCTGGGATGTCAGTGTGCATGCATATGGATATGTGTCATCACATGTGTGACTATGTCTGTGCATCATTGCATTTTATATGTCTAGAGTACTAGAGAATGTGTGCTGTCTTTGTGTGCTGAATTCCTAGAAATTGGGATGAATCTGGGAGTATCACCTTGTGTGTCTGAGTGTGTTTATTGTGTATATCTGGGCATGTATCATGTGTTGCTGTGTGCCTGGATGCATATTTGCATATTTTTAGTGTGAGGAATATAAAAATCATTTACCATATGCCCCAGTGTGTGTGTTTCTGTGAGTATCTTGGTGCTTTTGTGCATTTTTGTGTGTGTCCTCATGTGTTTTTATGGGTTACTGGGTGTTAGTGAGATGCCAAATATCTGGAGATATTGACATGAGTATATTGGCTGTGGTGTTGTGTGGAGATGAAGTTACTGTGACTCTCACCTGCCTTCGGGTCCTCTATGAGCTGCAGCAGATCTCCTGGGCGTCCATCAAGTGTGAAGCAGATCCTCTCTTCTGAGTGTGGGATGTGGATCACAAAGTGGGGGTCCCCATCCACTGTAAGGCAGGAGATGTAACTCTGAAGTTATGGTCTTGGAAGGAATGGGATGGAGGAGAAGAAAAGGAAAGGAGAAGGGAAGTGGCTATATCTATTGAGAGAGAGAGAGAGAGAGAGAGAGAGAGAGAGAGAGAGAGCCCAGCCCCACCCAGTCCCAGTGCATGAGTTGTCCTGTACTAAAGAAGGAGAGTGATAGAGATGGCTGGCTTACCAGAGGATGAGAAGGTGAAGATTCTTGGAAATGTGCCTGCAAAGGAGAGAGAGCCTGAATAGTGAGGGACAGATCTAACACATTTCTAGGAACCCTGAGACACCATGGCCTCTGAATCACCTCTTCCCACACAAGGGCCAAATTCCTGAGCTCATCATTTCAGGCTTTTCTGGAATCTAGCCCCTTCCTAACTCTCCAATGTTTTCTTTATGCTGTATCTCAGCTGAACTGACTATTCTTATGAGTGTCCTGCCTTCTGGAGTTATCTTTTTCTCCTGTTTTTCCTGCCACCTGGAATGTTTTCTTTTTCCTTAACTACCAAGGAGAAATTCCTAGTTATTTTTCAAGGCCAGCTCTATTAATGGATTAATGGGTTATCAAGAAATGACTTTGTTATAAAAATGAACTCTTTCTACCTTGCTCTGTTTCACTGAACCACTTTGGGACTCTGCACAGGGTTCCTACCACCAAGGAGGTTCTCAGAAATGTAGCTCTTCAACCTTCGACTTCTCAGAATCCAGAACTGTTGGATGAACAAACCTTTACTCTTTATAAATTACCTAGTCTAATGACATTCAGTTATAGCTACCTAAAATGGATTGAGATAATGGGCATTGCATTAAGCTGCTAAATTTCTGGTTATTTACTATGTAAGCAATAGAAAATTAATACTTCAATTTTTCTCTGAGTTCCCATAATGTCATTAAGAATTCTAATTAAGTGGAAATGAAGGCTTAAGGGCTCCTTGCTTACCTTTTGCAGAACCCACAGAACTTCCCTGAGTGTCCATGCTCCCTCCAGTTCCTCCCAGAATTTCCTCAGAATCGCCATCCCAATGTGGATTTCCTGCCACACTCAAAGAAATAAGAGAAATCCTTCATACTCTCAGGGCAAAGGTTCTCTGTTCACCAAAGGGCCCGTCTTCCTTCTGACTAGGAAAGCCCACACTGGCTTCTCAAAACGACCATATCTAGGACTGGGAGTTTATGTTCATTACAATTTCTTTGTCTTTCAAGCCCAGATATGTACAAAGTTCTTATTCATAGCATTCATACATAAATAATATACACTAATTCATTCAAGCATTGCTTAGGCTTCAGGGATATGATATTGGAAAAGACAGACATGGTTTCTGACCTGGTGAATTTGATAGTTCAGCCAGGGAGGCAGGCATAAAGAAAATCATAATTACAAATGGTATATATAAATGCTGTACACAAAACAAATAATGGATTGACTGAATGAGTAATAGAGGCCTGAAGTGGCCTGCAGGGAGGGCTGATAAGGAGATCTGATCTAAGATCTAAGGCAGAACTGGAATTTTAGAGGCAATGGAAAGGAATGAAAGTAGTAGGAAGGGGGAGGGCAAATAGAGGAAGTAACTTGAAAGCAGTTCCTGAGTGGAGGCTAGGAAAGAGCCCATGGGAGGAGCAGAGAGAAGACCAGTGGGGCCCCAAGTCTAGAAAATTAGTAGAGAGTGGGAGAAGATGAGGACAGAGAGTTATAGGGGTAGGGATCACTGAATGCAAGGCTTTGAAGGCCATGAAGAGGACTTTGGATTTCATCCCCAGTGTGATGGGAAATGCTTGGGGGAAATTAAGTAGAAAAGTAACCTGAAGAGACTTGTGACTTTAAAAGATTCCTTTGGCTGCAGGGGGAGAATGACTTGTAGCAGGACAGGAGAGGAAGCAGAGACCAGTGATGAGGCTGGAACGGTTTTCTAGATGAGATGCAATGGTGTTCTGCTCTGAGATAATGACAGGGTTGTGATAAGTGGGTGGATTGGGGAAATATATTAGAGGTAACATTGCCAGGAACTGGGGATGGATGGGATATTGGGGGCGGGTGAGGGAGAGGGATGTGTTGAAGAAGATGTCATTTCCAAATTTGCATCTCTATAATTTACTGCCACACTCAACTGTTTTAAATCTTTCCCTATAAGATCACCCAGGACGTGTCACTCTTTCCTATAGGAAGACAGAAGAGTGGAGTGGTGAGGCACATTTATTTTTGGGACCAGATTTTATGGGTTCAAATCTCTGACTAGCTGTGTAACATTAAAGAAGTTACTTTACCTCTGTATAATTTAGTTTCCTTATGTGTAAAGCATTTATAAACAGTCTCTTGTGAGAAACAAATGAGAAGCAACAAGTACAATATGTAGAAAAGTACCTGCACATGGAAAGAGCTAAAAATGTTATTACATTATAGTCTTTGGAAAACTTAAAGGTAATTATCATCATCTTCCCAAATTTTTATGCCCCTATTATTAAGCAGGGATGTTCATGGAACACAGAAAAGCCAATCAGACCTCTGCTGCCAGAGATCCTCCAATTTATAATCCTATATATCTCTCTCGCTTTGGAATTATCATAAATTCTCTTGTCCAACAATGCAAATTTCAAGACTACAGCTTGACTAGTTTGTTTCTGTTCAACCTTCCCAAGGCCTTTAATTCTGTGCTTATGTACTGAGGCCCAGAAATGTTAAGCAACTAGTCCAAAGTCCCAAAGCAACTAAGCAAACAGCTAGAATCTGCACATGCCTTTTAGATTCCCAGCTCCTAGCGGTCTTCATTCACACTCTACTTTGCCCACCATGACTTGCCCTTTTGCTCACGGCACTTACCATCTTTATCAGGAGTGAGGAAGGTATAGAAAGCTGGTGGGTTCAAAGACTCCACAAACTTGGACTCCATCATTGACTCAGATAGCAGCTCTAGCTCCTCTGGAAGAAGGAGCAGACTGATGGCCTCAGAGAGGGTGCTGGAAGGCAGCAAGATTGGCAGGTTTGGAGGGCTGCCTTCTTGCTCAGAACTGGAGTTGTTGGGTAGGACCATTGTTGGGACCCCCAGCACAGATGGTCCCAGTGCTTGCCTTGTGCCCTGGGGCCTTAACAACAGGTCTTGCTGAGGCCAGAGCCTTCCAGTGGGTAGCAGAGAAGGCGGAGTAGGGGTAAGGGGGGCAGGGAGGGGTTCTTCAAGGACAGAGTTGGTCATGGTACTGCTGGGACCTGTAGAACTTGAGACTGTGTTTGAGAATGTGTTAAAGCTCTGAGAAGGTGGGGGCCTGGGTCTGGCAGGTCTAGGGGGTAGTGGAGTTTTCAGTGTATGGGGGGTTGGGGTTCCAGGTTTGGAAAGTGATAAGTTTATAGAAGTTTGGTGAGGTAAGGTACTAGGTTTAAGAGGTGATAGGATTTTAGGGGTCTTAGGCAAGAGGATACCAGGTCTAGGGTGTGGCAGGTTATTTGGGGTCTTGGGAGCAGTAATTTTAGGTCTGGTATGTGGCAGGTGTTTGGGGATCGGAAGTATAGAAACTCCAGGTCTGGGCTGTGACAGGCTTTTGGGTGATTGTGATGTGACTACCCCAGGTTGTGAGTGTGATGGGGAGTCTGTTTTAGGTCGTGATGGATTATAAGGTTTAGAATGCTGTGGGCCACCTTTGGTCTGGGCCAGGATGCCAGAACTCAGAGGTAGAACTTGTGTCTTGGAATTCATGGGTGATGTAACACCAGGATTCTGATGTGATGGAGTGCCAGATTTTGTAAGCAATAGAGTACTAGAATTTGAGGGTGTAAGGGCAACAGGCTTTGTCTTGAGAGTTGGGTGGGCCAAGGTGCCAAAATCTTGCACTGGAGTTTTGGGCTTTGGGTGTGCTAAGGTAGATAAGGCACTAGAGCTCTGACCCAGTGGCTCTAACTTGTTGGAACTGGACATCTTTGTAAAAGCCATAGCAGTTGAAGTTTGTTTTATAGGCCTTGATTTGGGGGAGACCTTGGGCACCAAGGCTGGCTGAGCTGTGCCAGTCCCTAAGCCATGGCTGCTGCTGGATGAGGGCATGATGGTGGTTGGCCCGGCTGTGGTGGATGGCTGTTTCTTGGCTTCCTCACTGGCTTCCTTGGGCTGCACCATGACCAGTGAAGTCAAAGGTGTGACAAAATTGTATTCAAGGGATAGGTTGAGGATTTTGGCAGCCAGCAGATGGCGAGTGGTGGTGTCATGGGCTTGAAAACGTGCCTCCAGCAGCTCTCTAATGGTGACATAGGCCCAGAGGCGGCGGATGAATAGGGCTATGTTGAGGGCTGGCTCTCCTGGGCAACCAAATGCCTTCTGGCTGCCGTTGGTGGCTCCTTCACTGTGGCGGGTCACCAGGAGCTGACCCTTGGGGCCACGGGCTGCTAGGTGGATGCCCAGTTCCTGCTCACCTGGCTGCACCTGGCCAGCTACCACTAGCTCTGAGCCACCAAAGTAGTTGGGGAAGAGAGCCCAAGAGGAGGTCCCAACCATGCCGCCCAGATAGTCCAGACGCACATCTGCCAGCAGAGGCATGGATATCTCCTCATAAAGGCCCTCTAATTGCAGGGCTGCATCAGTGTCCTCATATATGCGTCGGGCTACTCCCCGGTTCTCCAGGGACAGGTGACGCAGCAGTGGGAAATCAGCATCATCCCCAAAGGCCAAACTGAATAGGGATACTCTATGGCCCAGTGCCTGACGAATGTTGGAGAGGATCACACTGGGGGTTGTCACGCCGGCTGTGGGCTCCCCATCTGTTAGGAAGATGATCAGAGGGATCCTCCCCATACTGGGGCCCCTCCCAGGTTCCTGGTTGCTATGGTTCAGCACTGAAGCAGCCGCCAGCAGAGCTGCATTGATGTCAGTCCCTAATCGGAGAGAAGACTGTGAGACCACGTTCTCTAGTCACTTCTATCCCCACTGCAGACACACTGGATACTTCACCAATCTCCCAGACTTAGTCATATCTCATCTTCTCTCATTTTGCTGCTTATCCTTCCCAACTCCTTTGGCCCCACCCAGTATCTCTGAGACCTGGTGGTAGGGCCCATACATCCTTGGCTTTTATAATTTTCTGTCTTTGACTGTTCTTCAATTGTTTTTTTTTGGGGGGGGTGTCTCATTTCCTAGTCATACTGGCAGCTACCCAAAGATAGCCCCCCCCTACCTTCTTGCTACAGGAGAAGAAGTTGACAGGAGGGGTGGGTGGGAGAGACTTCAGTAATTGAGAGGGGATAGATCAAAAGCAGAAATTTGCTCAAATACTTAAAAATAAATATCTAGATTATTGATTTTAAAAGTCTTAGCAAATTCTTCTGAGTATTTGCTTTGAGGAGGAAGAAACTCAGGACCTAAGATAAATGTGCCCTAAGATACATAGGGAATCAGCTTTCTATAGGGAAAGGGAGATGGGAGGGTAACAGAGAGCATGAAGGGACATATTTATATAAAATGAGACAGTTTCAGGCACTGTGAGAGGTGAGGAGGATGGGAAGTAAAGAGAGGGTTTTGGGAATTTTCAAAATCACCAGTCTGCCCATTTGGGTAGGGAGGTCTAACACTTACAGCCATCAGCTTCCATGCGACCCAAGTAATCCTTGGCACTGTGGACATTCTGGATAGTAGCCTGGATCGAACCTCCAGCTTTCCAGACACTAACTGTGTCAGAAAAGGAGATGATGTTGAAGTAGTCATTGGCTTGCAGGTCACTGAGGATCACATTCATGGCTTTTTTAGTCTGTGGGATATGGACGAAGTAAAGAAGATGGGACAAGACTTGAGGTTTCTGAGCTTGAAAGGTTCTTTCTATGTAAGGTACTAAGGTCTAAATGCTGTATGGCTTTAACACACTCTGACTTCAGCATTCAGTAAGTCTAGGATTATCAAGTCAAGATGCTCTATGGGCTTTTCAGTTCAAGGCCTAGAATTGTATTATCCAATATGGCAGCTACTAGTCACATGTAGCTATTTAGATTGAAATGTGACTTAGTTAAAATTAAAGAAAATTTTAAAATGTAGTTCTTTACTTGCAATAGCCACATTCCAAATGTTCAATAACTACATGTGACCAGTGGTTACTATAACTAGATAGCGCAGAATTTTAGAATATTTTCATAATCAAGGAAGTTCTAATAGACAGCAATGGTCTAAAAAGTTCAAACTCTGTTTTCAGAGCCCTAGAATCCATGTGTTCTATGGTTCCTAACCTTATGACCCAGGACTCAATGAGTCCAGGACTCTAAAGTTCAGGAGTCTTCAGATTTCAGGTCTGTGTAGCTATCTCTCAATGACTTTGTTTTGGTTTTGCTCTAATCTGTTATCATTCTCACTCTCTGTTTATTCTAGGCTAGTCTTCTCAGCAGCCTCCAGATAACCAAGATTCTGCTTTATCTCTAAAACTATGTTCTTGTTGTGCCTTTTAGCACATCCTCCCACTTCCTCTTTATTTATTCAGATCTTCATTATTCTTTCAGTTGTTCCTTCTCCAGAAAGATCATCTTTGAGATGTCTACTTTTACCCTTCTCACCCAGATAGTCCTTGTCACAGACTGTTCATTCTTCAGACGCTTATCAAATCCTCTGAGAACAGGGCTTAGAATGCTGCTTCTTCCTGTCTCTTTCCTCCATGACAATACCTAACATAGGGCCAGGCACATAGTAGGTTCAGGGAATAGGTTATGCACATTATAGTATTGAGTATCATTTATAGAATGCTTACTGTGTTCCAGACACCATATTAAATACTTTAGATGCATCAGCTCATTTGATCTTTACAGAAACATAATGCAGAAGGCACTAATGTCACTCCTGTGTTTTACTGAGGCTCAAAGAGGCAAAGTGACTTTCTTATAGTCACACAGCTAGTAGTTGATGTGTCAGGCACTTAAATTCCTATTTGAGAGATGCCAAATCCAGTGATCCTAAGAAAATATTATACATCCTTTAGACAGGTATGTATTTCAGAGACCACAAGAAGGACATTTGAGATTTGCCTTTCTGTACACCTTAAACTGATAAGAGATGTCTTGAATGCTTCTACTGTGGTGTCTTTCTTACTATTGGGAGAGCTCATGGGTTAGGTCATGGATCCTGGAGTAGGGAGCTGAGTGTTGTTTCCCTTGTGAGAGGGCTGAGACTTAAAATTATGGCCTTTCATATGACTACACCACCAATTTAAACCCACATTATGTACATCCACAAGAATGGGATCTTAATTGGAATGGGTTGTACTCCATATATGTCAAAATATACTCTACTGTCATGTATATCTAAAAACAACAAATAAAATTTTTAAAAAATGAAAAAAAGATGGCCTTTCCTGAGAACAACAGTAGAAAAGTGAGTGGCTAGGGACCTAGAAGGTCGAACCTCTTGTCAATCAGGGACAAAATATGTTTTTATAAGTCTGTTGTTTGATATCCACTTGTTTTGAAATTTCCCAGCTATCTTAGTTATTGACTACTAGTTTAATCCCACTTGGTCTGAGAGCATAGTTTGTATGATTTATATTGTTTTACATTTGTTAGGCTGTGTTTTATGGCCCAGAATGTAATCTGTTTGTAAATGTTCCTTGTGAGCTTGAGAAGAATGTGTATCCTGTTGTTGGTAGAGGAAGTATTCTACAAATGTCAATTAGATTCTGTTGATTGATGGTGCTGTTCAGGTCAACTCTATCCTTACTGATTTTCTGCCCGTGAGATTTGTCAATTACTGAGAGAGGGATAGTAAAGTCTCTAATTATAATAGTGAATTCATCTTTCTCCTTTTGGTTATATTAATTGTTACCTCATGTATTTTGGCACTGTTGTTAGGTGCATTCTCATGAAGCATTGTTATGTCTTCTTGGGGGATTGAATTTTTTATCAAAATAGTATGCATTTGCTTCTCTGTTAATTTCCTTGCTCCAAAGTCCATTTTATATTAAATGAATATATCTTCCCCAGTTTTCTTTTGCTTTGAGTATGGTATATCTTTGTCTTTTTCTTTACTTTTATTCTACCTGTATTTTTATATTTGAAGTTTCATATTTTTAGAGAGAGAGAGAGAGAGAGAGAGAGAGAGAGAGAGAGAGAGAGAGAGAGATATGCATTGCCAATGTAGATAATAAAACAAAATTCAACTTTCTCTCTCTCTGTCTCTCTCTCTGTCTCTCATACTGGGGATTGAACCCAGGGGTGCTTAACCACTAAGCCACAACCCCATACCTTTCTTTATTTTTTATGTGTTATAATTAGTTATACATGACAGTAGAGATAGGGTCTCACTAAGTCACTCAGGGCCTCACTAAATTGCTGAGGCTGCTTTTGAACTTGTGATTCTCCTGCCTCAGCCTCTCTAGTTGCTAGGATTACAGGAGTACACCACCATGCCAGGGGATCTGTCTTTTAATTGGCATATTTAAAACATTCATTTTTAAAGTGATTTACTGATATACTTGGATTAATATTTGCCATATATAACTGCTTTTTGTTTGTTGCCTTATTCTTTATTCCTATTTTTGTCTTCTACTCATTTCTGAGTTCTGTAGTTTTAATTGAGTATTTTACACTATCTAATTATTTCTCATCTCTTATCATATCCAGTTGAAAAAAAATTAGGGATTGCCCTAGATTTTGCAATGTGCACCTGCAACTAATTCAAGGCCACTTTTAGATAACACTGTACAGCTTCATGCATAGTGCAAGTATCTTGCAACAGAGTATTCCTAAAACTTCCCTCTCATCCTTTATAAAATTGTTTCATTAATTGTACATATACATAAGTCATGTTCACCCAGTGAATTTTGCTATTATGATTTTGAACAAATTGTTATCTGTTAGATAAATTAAAAATAAAAATAAAATATTTTATTTTACCTTCATTTATTCCTTCTCTAACACTTTTTCTTCCTTTATGTGATCAAAGTATTTAAATATACTATTTTTCTCCTTACCAAAAAACTGCTTTCAAAAATTCTTGCAAAAAAAGGTCAACTGCTGGTGATTCCTGCAATTTTTGTTTGAGAAAGTAAGTCCTTAGTTCTTTTACACTGGAAGGAAAATTTTGAAGTATCAACAATGCTAAGCTGGGGTGGTTTTCTGCTTTGACACAAAATATTTCACTCCACTCTCTTCTTGTTTCCATGATTTCTGAAGAGAAGTATCATGTAATTCATATCCTTATCCCCCTAGAGGTAAGATGCTTTGTTCCTATGGCTTTTTTTTTTTTTTTCAAGATTTTCTCTTTCTCTTTGATTTTCTACAGTTTGAATGTGTTATATCTAGATGTAGTATTTTTTTTTTTTGCTTTTATCATGCTCAGTGTTCTTTGAGCTTCTTGGAGCTATATGCTTTGGTGTCTGTCATTTCTTTTGGAAAATTTGCATCCATAATTACTTCAAATATTTCTTTTGTTACTTTCTCTATTTTTTGTTACTTTTTTCTTCTCATTTTATTATTCCTATTCCATATGCATCATGCTTTTGTAATGGTCTTAGGGTTGTTTCATGTTCTGGGGTATTTTTTCCATTCATATTTGAGAAGTTTCTATTGATATATTTTCAAGCTCACTGATTCTTTCCTCAACCATGTCCAATCTCCTGATGAGCTCATCAAAGGCAGTTTTCATTCTTTTTTTTATTTCTAGCGTTTTTATAGGGCTTCCATATCTCTGATGATTACATTAACCATCAGTTTTTGCATGCTGTCCAATTATTTCATTAGAACTCTTGGCATATTAATCATATATATCTTAAATTCCTGCTCCGAAAATTCCAGCATCTTCTACATATCTGAGTCTGGTTCAAATGATATAATTATGTCTTCAGATTTCAGGATTTTTAACCATTTTGCATCCTTTTTAATTTTATGTTGAGAGTAGACATGATGAAACCAGTAAAAGGAAGTGAAGCAAATAGACATTTAATGTGAAGTGTTATATCATCTACCTGAGACTACATTTGTTGTTGGCAGTAGTTGAAAGGGTCAGAGGCTAAAAGGTACTCCAGTGTTTGTATTTTCATCTCATCTTTTGTCTTTTGTTTTCCCTAAGGACTTTCTTCTTAAGGTCTAAAGCTTCTAGTGCTTTCACCTGTAGCCTCCATATATTGTGCAGTGATTGAGTTGATGTGTTCCAGTGCACGGTGAGAAGAAGTGATCTACAATATTTTGGTTAGGTCTATCTTTTGGTGAGCTAATGGCTCAAACCTGATTTTGAGACACTACCCCATGCACTGTAATGGACAAGAAGGTTGAAAAGTTCTGAAATTGAGTACATCCCTTTCCCCACACTGAAGACTGGGGATCTTGCTACAGGTTGACTGATTGCTAAAACATAACTCAGTCTTAGGTCTCAAGTGCTCTGTGATTGAAAGCTTTAAGACACAAAGACACTACTTTATCAGGACACTCAAACATCCTTCTAGAGCCTCTGAGTATTATGCTTTGAGATGCTGCTTCTGGAACCTTATGGATCAAGGCACAAAGTCAAAGTTTCTGTTATCTATGACCCTAGAATCCTGAGTCAAGAGTGACTAATAGAAGTGGTATCATATTAAAATTAATTAATCCCAGAACTTTTAAACCTATAACAAAGGTACAATATAAGACTAGGTCTTTACATTTAAAAAATTAACTAATAAAATCACACCAAAACTCATGACTTTGGTAAAAAAAAAAAAAAAAACGTCTCCATTATCTAAGGTTTTATTGATTCAGGATTCTATGAACACGGGGCAATCTAGATTGAGGGTTTCATGACCTAAAGATAAACTGGAAGGGAGAGTTACTAGAATTCTCTGTTTTCATGTCTACATGGTTCCTGTTATGTAAGGTGCCAGGGACCAAGAGGAGACCTGGCTATAGGAGACTAAAGGGTATGGGAAGGAAGGACATTGAGACTTGGGGAACCTAGAGTTCCAGCACTCACAGATTTATGAGCTTTATGAACCATCCAATGCCAACACAGGGTCCTTCTTACCTGCTTCATCTTGGTACCAAACATGGAGCCACTCACATCAATAACAAACACCACATTCTTTTCCACAGGCTGGAGGCCTCGGGGGGCAAAGTAATGAATAAAATAGCCACCATAAATCTGAACAAAAAGAAGGGAAACCAAAAAGGACTGTGAGAGCAGATTTAATCAGGCCCATCTTATCCTCCTGCACAACAGCCCGCTAGGACTGCCAGGATCCTAGGACTTCTTTCTCACTGTTTCTAGTTACAGAGGCATGTGTGCAATTGTTTGCTCAATGTCATTCTCCCCCCACCAGAACTCTTCTGTTCAGACCTTCATCCCAGGCCTTGCCCAGAGCTGTGGAGTGAAGGAGACTGGCTTGTGGCCCAGGGCTCCAAGGATCAGGATTTCTGTAATATGTGAGTTCCTGTCCGTGAGAGAGCTGGGCTTGCACAGTCTTCAGGGTCCCCAGGGACACTTTGCCTGGGCTCCAGGAACTGTAAGTATTGTTTTAACCTCCCTCAATAGAGTGAGCCTGGGGCCCAGCTCATTGCTGCCAAGGGCTGGGAATTTGCAGGGCCTCCCTCTCCTCCTAAAACCTCCTTTCTGCTGTTGCTGGGCAGAGCAGGAGGGGAGGAGGCAGCAGAGGCCAATTGAGCTGTGTGTGCAGAGGGGATTGGTTACACCAGGTACAAATGCCTTGGGCTGCCCTGGCTGTGATTGGCTGCCGAGAGTCTCTCCCCCTACTCCATCTCTCTCTGGCTCTCTCTGCAGAGCCAGGGGGGGGGCTGGGCAAGCTGAGCAAAGGGGAGGGGGCCAGAAGGTCCCTCAGCACCAGTGTCTGCTCAGCCCAGGGTTCTCTGGGCTTGCTGAGCCGCTGAGATCCCTGAAGCCTGAAGCCTGAAGCAGGCCTGGCTCTGGGAGACTGGCTCATCCTCCACTTGGCCCTCAGGTGCTCTGTGACCAGAAGGCTGGACACTGGCTCCTCCTATCTCACTGGAAAGAGAGGAGATGGGAGGCCCTTGCCCCCCTTTGAATGAGTCCATAGGTTCACATGTGGCTTCTGTCTCCAGGTGAACCTGGCTCTCTGTCACAGTTCCCCAAGGCATGAATCACTCAACCTACCATTGCTTAAGCCATGAGAGAACTCAGCTGCCCTCGAGTATGACTCCCCTACAGGGGTAGGGAGAACTGTCATGCATATCACGCCACCCATGTTTGATCCCAAGCTAACCAAATCCTATTGGGACACCTGGAGCAGTACCCAGCTCACCAACCTCTCGCTGGCTCCTCCAAAATCACCCCACCCCACCTTCACAATTCAGGAAGAATGTGAAGGGCACCAGGACACACACTTGCACCACCCACCTGCCCATGGCCCCATCCATCTTCTGAAGACCACACAGTCTTAACACAGACCCTAGGCAATTAGGGCTCTCAGCAGTCTTTATCCCTTGTCTTCCTTTCACCATCTCCCCAACGTGCAACCCACTGGATGTCCCATAGAATATAAAATCAGGCGTCTTTCCCATCCATGGAGGCAACCCCTTGCTCTCAATCCCCATCAGACTTCTATCCAGCCTCTTCCCTCCCCTGGCATTCCAGACTAAAGACTGGGTCTCCTGAGATGGTCTCTCTTCTCCAGTTCACACCTGCACAACCACCAGGACTGATCCTGCTCCCAACTCATAGGAACACTGCTTTGCTCAAAGGCAGCTAGCTATGTGCTAGCTTACCTCCAAACTCAGTTTGTGTATTAGGAATCTCACCAGACTAGGCCTCACTGATGAGTTTCAACTTGGCAATGACTTCCACTCTCTCCCAAAGCCTTTCCCCTGGCATTCTGAGATCATCAGCTGTCCACATTCTCCTAACACCTCTCAGGCCACTTCATCCAGTTTCTCTCTCTAGGACCCATTGTCCACCTGCCCCTTTTCAGTGCTTCCAGTCGGCCAGATCAGAGTGTGCAAAGACAGTGATTAGGATTGTCTCTCTCTGGAGTAAACTAGCGAGGCTCAGGGTGCTGAGCAGGCTTTCTGCTGTTGGTGGGGCCTGGCAATCTGAAGCCCCAGATCAGTGGCTGCTGAACGGGGAACTCCACCTGACGTGACATCACAGCCCGGGCCTCTGACTCCACTCATTCTCCCTGTGTGGACTCACTCTCTAGCTTGAGTTACACCGCTGAATCTCCACCTGTGTCCCACATCTCTTTCTTAGCCTCAGGGTACCCGTTCCCCCACCACAACTGCCGACACACTAGCTGTGGACCTCTTCACCTGGGAGGCTGAAGATGCTTCCAACAGATGCTGCTCAAACAACAACCTCATCAACTTCCCGTAACGAAGCCCTGAGATTTTCTCAGGTGGGAGCCACTTCATTGAGCCTAACCTGGATAAGAGTGTCACCTTCAATTCTGTGCCCAGCTAGTCTGCCACCAATTCCTGATGGTTTTATCTGCTAGAGACTTCTCGGGCCACCCCACCTCTCCTTCCAAAACAAAACAATCTCAAATTCAGAGCTGCTTTTCCTTGGGTTCCCTGCTTTTTTGCGAAGTCCTCCATCTCTACAGCTTGGCCACAGCTAGCTCCTGGGTTGCCATACACACGACCTCATAATGTACTGCCTGATCACGGCTCCCCAATCACCTACAGGACAAATAGTAGCTTCCTTTTCATGCCACTGCAGGAAATGCCAGCCATTTTCTGATCTCTTACCATTTTGCATCTGAAATCCATGCTCCCTGGTTCCCAAGCCATTTCTGACTCCCTGCACACACTCAGAGATGTCAGGCCTCTGTTGCTTTTACCCTGTGGCCCCACTTGGCCAGCATACCTTTCCCTTCCCTCATGGCCCCCACACAGGGCCTGTTTCTGGCATTCCTTATGTCCCAGGTCAGCTCGACATCCTGCAGGGTGCCTTCCCTGGCTCCCTTTCCCCCTCATCTTGCTAGCCGCACACCTTGTGCTCTCATGGAAAGGGTATGTCTCATCCTGTGTCAGGGTTGTTTCCATCTGTATGGCCACAGAAGAGGCAGGATGTGTGTGGAATCCTCCAGAGTTCCCTGCACCAGCCCAAACTGGAAACAACGTCAATTAGGGGCCTAGGGAGTCCTGATGGAACAAGTAGGTGAACGCACTGGGCTTGAAAGGTGGGCACAGTCAGATAGGTAATGGTATGGGGATGGAGTGCTCCTGGCAGATGGCAGGAGGAGTCAGAGTTCACAGTTAGTGGAAGTCCTCATTGTCCAATTGAATGCCTAGTCCCATGTACCCAGTCTCTATGCCCACTCCAGGCCATTTGGAAAAGGTAAAGAACCAAGCAGCAGAGAATGTCTCCATGAACTAAACATACCCGGGTAGGTGACAGAGGGGCAGGTTATGCCCCTGCTGCCACCTGCTGACAGGGTACCCACAGCTCCTCCTCAGGGTAGGTCAAATGCTTTCTTCCCCCCTGCATAACAGCCTTGCCATACCTCTGCACCCCTGCACATGCTATTCCCTCTCTGGTGTGCTTTTCCCTTCACCAAGTTCACCGACATGGAAGCAATGCCATTCATTACCCTCATGCTCTCTGAAATGCCTACTCCTTCTGGAAGATTATTCTGAATCAGCCTTCTCTGGAACCCCCACTTTGCCCCACAGATATACACACAGTGCCTAGGGATTTGATGCACGTGATGACTATGTGGATCTGGCTGCATCAGAATGTGGAGATTAGGGGTTGAGGCCACAAATTTCTGAGTTTCTAGAGTCTGAGGGCAGGATTTGTGTAGAGGGGCTCTGCTGGGTGGCCATGTGTCCAGGTAGAAGTGAATGCACAACACACAGGAAGAGCCTGGATGAAAGCAGAATGTCTGGCAGGGGAGACAGAGGAATTTCAGATGGGATGGAGTCATGAAGAAGAAGGGATTTGGCCCAGGATTAAGAGGAGGATGCTGACTGGTGGAGAAGGAGGAGAAAGACCCTCCCAGGGCAGCAGCTGGTCTGAGAAAATGATTGATCATACACAGAAGAGGGATCAGGTGACCCGGGAGAAAGGAGTGAGTTGTGCACTGGGGCTGCTGGAGGGTGGTCTTTGTGCTGGCTGCTGGGAGATGTGTGGCCCAAAGACAGGCCAGGACCAGACCTATCAGGCTGTCTCCATCCTCATGGAAAGTCAAGGTCTTGGGTCAGAGCTCCACAGCTCAGAAGGAGTAGGGATCTCTCAGGGTGTTCATGAGTGGGTGGGCTCAGAACTGAAGGGCTCCCTCTTTAGGCACGTGGCTGTTTCGACAGGAAAGGCCTTTGCAGCAAATGAGAGACAGCAAGAAAGTCCACAAGAGCAGGACAGTATCAGAGCCACAGAAAGCATGAGAGACTAACTGCTCACAGTGGTTCACTTTGCCAAAGGGCTAGCTCTGAGTGGGCTATGCTTTGGTCCATTCTGGGAATGGGTTCATTTGGACCGTGATTCAACTCCTGTGGTTCCAGGTTCCCATCCCTTTGGGTATACACGTGGGTCCCAAGGTCAGAAGCTTTGAGATCTTACATATCATCCTATCCTTGTTTACTAGTTCCCATTCATCCCCAATTGTGTACACCAGGGCATTGTCCAGACCTGTCCAACTTCAGAACCCATGTTGTCTCCGAGTACCTGCACGTCCCCAATGATGTCCTCCATGACCACATCATATTGGACCATGAAGTCAGCCATGATGCCTGAGCTGGAGAAGGCAGACTGGTCTTGCATTGTGGGGCAGAAGATGATTCGGACACAGGTCTCTCCCTTCTCGATCCTGGTGGATGGGGGTGAGTCAGCCTCACCTGTGTGAAAGGGGACAGTTGCGGCAATGTGGCATGGAAGGCTCTCGCCAAACAGAAAATCCAGGGACATAGACAGCACAAGGGCACCATCAGGAAGGGTGAGAATTCCAACCCTTACCATCACCTGCATGCATCACCCTTCCACCTGCCCCCATGCCACTCTCTCTCCCAATCCTGCAGCCAGCTCCTGATTCACCTCCTCCATCACACCCAGCCTGACAGACCCAGGCACGTCCTCAGCTCCCAGCACTGACTGTCTGTCCCTCACTCACAACCTCACCCTGCCATGCTTCCCATCCTCACTGGGCCAGCCTGGAGGAGTGTCACTGCCCAGCTCACCCAGAAGCCCGGGTTCCCCTCCAGAGAGGCACTGTGGTGCATGCTAGAGCAGAGACAGACACATCCACAGGGCCTGGGTCTCCTCCCGTCCCCTTCCCTCTGTGGGAAATGGCAGTCTAGCAAGGTTCTCCTGTGGCATAGAATTGCATGTGCTTTCTTCCCCTGTGCCTCTGACTCCCAGCATCACGTGTGTGAATACGCCTTTTAGCGTCTCATGAAATCACTGATGACTTTCTGGTCCCGGATGTTTGCTGAGCTGGCCACAAGATCAACTCCTCTGGAATTTTAGTCCAAGACAAGTGTCCATTTAGAAAGGTCTGTGTGCCTCCTTTTTTCCACAAAATGGAGGCCTGGGAATTCTGCTCCCCCTCCTTCCTGCTACAGCTGTCAGGAAGCTTAGGGGCAAACTGAGCCCCCATACTCTCTGAGGCGCCTGCTCACATACATTCCCTGGGCTTCCTTCCTTTCAGAGCTCTTTGTTCTCTTTTATCCCCACAGGATTGGTTCTATCCTCTGTTTTAGCCTTTAAGGGGAAGGGGGAGGGAGCTGCCATTTATAGCTTAGGGCTTAAGAGTGCAGGCTGCAACACTCAGATGGCCCTTGGGCCCAGGTCTCTCCTGCTGTTGCCTTGTGTCACTGGAGAACTTAGTCCCTCTCTGTTACCCTTAGTCCCCTCATCTGTAGCATAGGGATGATAATTACCCTGGTTTTTAGACAGTGATTTGGGGACTAAATAAGAGCATTCATTAAAGTATTTGGAACCATACCTGGATCTTCATGAATGCTGATTAGTGACAGCTAGTACAATCATCACCATTCATTACTCTGCATCAAATGATTTCAAGATAAGAATGTTCTCAAATTCTCACAATGGTTCTGTGCCATAGAAGACACCTCCTCTATTTTAAAGATGGGGCATTTGAAGTAGAGGGTTAAGTGACTTGCTTTGCTGACCCCATATTAGGAGAGTATCAAAGCCAGAATCGATAGCAGTCTTTTGTCTGTCTGTTTCCACTTTGTCCCCCACCCCGCCTCTCCGGGTCAGCAGGTTCAAATCAACCAGGACCTCCAATGCTAAACAGATCTGTGATGGTGGCCCCTTGAGCTGGGGGACTTCTCTGTGCCTGTCCACTCACATCTCAGCAGATCTGTACAGGTCTGCTCAGTGGTTTCCAGCCGGGTTAGACGTTGAGTCCAGAAGCTGGTTAAGGATTAAGATTCATGGGCCCTACCACAACCTAGTGTACCTCGTGCCAGAAGTTTGAGGCCCAGGAATCTGTTTCTGAAAGCTCCTGAAGTGATTCTGATGAAGCCAGCCAGGCCTTCCTAGTCTTCTGGAAGAAATCTGAAGCAAGCCTGGCAGCCAGGTTGCCTCTCTGCCCTAAGGGTCCTGCAAAGGTATCCTCCAGGGTGCCTATGCTCCCTGTCTTCCCATGGTCCTTCCACTCTCAGCAGTGATCCTGGGGAAAGCCGGATTTGGCCAGTGTGGCTTCACTGCCCATAAAATTGTAAATATGTGATTTTGTGATCCAATCCAATAGAACTTTCCCTAATATTGATTCTTTTTAATGAGATAAATCAAATATTTGGGAAGTTTGAAACATGCCCCAAATGTCTTCAACTCCAAACATGCCTTCTCCTCTTTGAGGTGGGAAGGGCCTTGACTGTTAGCACAAGGTAAAAGCATCACTATTGTAATGCCCAACAGTAAGCAGATGATTCCCATTCAGGAAGGCCAGTGTGGTGGTTGACCCAAAAGTGATGTCCACATACTTGTGCGGTGGTTGGTGTGCAGGCGGCTGGTCCTCAAAGGTGGTACATGCACATAGGAGATGCCTGTCCTTTCTGACACTGTGACTTCTACATTCAGCTTTGACACCAATTGACCAGGCCTCACGCTTATCATCAGCTGGTATTGGCCCTGGTGTCGCTGCAGCAGCTCCTCATAGGCCAGGGCAAAAGTCACTTCTGTGCCTGCTGCCAGGCTGGTGGAGATTTGGAATTTCTCTGATTCCCGGTCCCTGGGTAGGGAAGACAGAAGGGTGGGAGGGAATGGGATTTATGGAGGAGTAGGGGAGCTGTTAGATGCTGTGAAAGTTGACCTGGTTCTGCTTTTCTTCACCATTGTTTCAGTAGACCTAACTAGGTTTCTGGTTCAACTAAGTTCTCGACTCATAGACAGTCATGCAGGCATCCACTAATTAGCCTCTTTCCCTCCCACATTCCCCCTTTTAAACATTCTGCTTGAGAAATTATATGAAAGGTAGTTCACCCTTAAGTAAACTCATTCTGTGAAAATTCGAATCTAGAATGGGTTTGTTTTACAAAAAAAAAAAAAAAGTTTTCAATGTATGCCTCTTCCCCTTCAAAATAGCCCCTCACACAACCCCTCCCCTATGTGTTAGACTGAGCTTGTTTATATGGCTTTGACTCAGTTTTCAGGAGCCAAATCTAAACTTTTCCTGCAGGACAAAATTCTCTTGGAATCTGGGAGGAAATATTAAAAGAAGACAATGCATTTCTGCCAACTGAATGAAACTCAGAAAACAGGATTCAATTTACAAAAATCTCACTTGCACATAGCCTTCCTGGAAGGAACAAATTCTTAAACAAGCTACATCCTGAGAGCAGGAGCAAAGTAGAAATGAGAAATAAACTTCCATTTGTTGAAAACACTTACTATGTTGCATACTTTGATATTCATTAACTCTCATCATCTTCATTTAATCATATGAAGTACAGATCATTGTTCCCACTTTACAGAAGTAGCCCAGAGAGAACATGTCTCCCTTGATGATGAAGCTCAGAAGGCTTAGTCATATTCCGGAATGCATGGGGCCTTACCTGATGCCTACATGAGCAGCTGTCTTTCCCTGGTGATAGGCTTCCTCATAGATTTTCTTTGCTTGGCGCTTCTCTTTGACTTCTGCAACATAGACTTTATTGTTGATGGTCCTGATGGTACAGGAAAGAGAAGGGACAGAGGAGGCAGATAAAGAGAAAGAGATGATCAGAGACATGGGAAGACATAAAGAAGGAGGAGGAGAGGAATGGAAAAAAAGGGGAAGAACAAAATCATATCATAAAGCCCAAGTTTGAAAGGGAAGAAGAGAGGAGAGGAGAGGGAGATAAACCAGGGTGAAGTTATTACAATGATCTTCATTTTTCAGATGTGGAAATAGACACCACACAGCATATGATAGACCTAGTCTTATAATTTTGTATTTTTCAAGGTATTGAATGAGTTTTGTCTTTTGACACACAAGGTGTTTTTAGGTGATACATAACTGAACATTTTTTACTATTATTATTATTACATATTTTCTATAGCATTTATTTAAAAACATGACATTTTGAACCCATGAGCTCACAGATGTTTTACTTAGGATAAGACTAACTTAATATCAAAAAGTGTATCTATTTAAAGAAAATACATTAAGTAAACAACATGGTTGGGGGCATAGGTGGTAAAAGTTTTGAAAGTGGTGTGTGAATTACTGCAAAGCCTTCTGAGGCTGACTAGGGACCTTCCTGTTCTCGGGGATTTCAAAGATAGATGAAAAGTGAGAAAAACAGACTTGCTATTCTTCCAATTTCTCTAAGGCCATAAACTATAAGAGAGAATAAAGAAGGAAGAGGGAGAGAACACTTTTTCCCAAGCCTTCAAGGAAGGGTCCTGGAGGAGGTGGCCTTGGAGCTGGTTCTGAAAAACAGGGAGGCTATGGATAATAATCTGCACTGATGATGCCTTCCCAATGTCTTTTGTTGTCTTCTCCTCTTCCTGACCTCTAAATCTTTGGAACAATTTGAGGCTCTATTCTTGACATACTTTCCTCTCGCCTTTCCTTACTTATCTCCTCTCTCTCTCTCTCTCTCTCTCTCTCTCTCTCTCTCTCTCTCTCTCTCTCTCTCTCTCGTCCTCTGTACTTCCTATATTCATTCTCTAGGTAATATCAAGTCCTATTGCCTTAATACCGATTTGCAGCCAGGCATGGTGGCACTCCTGTAATGCCAGTGACTCAGGAGGCTGAGGCAGGAGGATCACAAGTTCGAGGCTAGTCTGGGCAACTTAACAAGACCCTATCTCAAAATAAAAATAAGAAGGGGTGGGAATGTGAGTCACTGGTAGAGCACCCCTGGACTCAATCCCCAGTACTGCCAAAAAAAAAAAAAAAAAAAAAAAAAGAAGAAGTTTAAAATGCTATTTATACCAGATGACTCCCAAATGTATTTCCAGGGTGGGTCTGTCCCCCTGAACTCCAGAACTATACATCCAATTGCTTACTTGACATCTCCACTAGAATGTTCAATTGTAACCTCAAGCTTAACATACTCCAAACTGAGCTCCTAGTTTCTCCCCCCACCTTCAAAATCTGCTCCTTCCCAGGTCTTCCTTATCTCAGGAAATTGTTACTCCACCAAATCTTAGAGCCATGCTTGACTCCCCAATCCATCAGGGATTTTCAGATCTATTTTTAGAATATATCCAGAATCTGACCACTTCTCATGACCCCCACAATTCTTTCCCTGGTTCAAACTACCAATGTCTCTTACTTGGGTAAATACAGTAACCTACTAACAGGCCTTCCTCTTTAAACCCTTGCTCCTTGTAGTCTGTTGTCATAGCTGTCACAGAGATCCTGTTAATCCTAAATCAGACCACGTATTTCCTCTGCTCAAAACTCTCTGTGGCTTCCATCCCCACTCAAAGTAAAAACCAAACTCCTCACTGCACCCGCTGTGATCCTACACAATTTGGCTTGCTGTCACCTCTCTAATGGCACCTCCTCATACTCTGTCGCTCATTTTGTTCCAGCCACACTGGCCTCCTTGTTATTTCTTTTGATAAAGTTAAATTTATTTTAAAGAAATACATAAAATCATAAAAGTTGTTCATATTAATGGGTGTATTCATTGTGTAATGTTTAAATCAAGTGAAACATTTATCTTCTCAAGCATTTATTATTCCTTTGTGATGAAAACTTTCAAAATATTTTTGGAAATATACAGTACATAATGTTATATGTAGTCACTATACTGTGCAACAGTACCACAGAGCTTCTTGCTCCTATGTAAAAGTAACTTTGTACCCATTGATCAACACTCCCTCATCCCTCTCCTAGTCTACTCTACCCAGCCTCTGGTCACCATGATTCTATTTTCAATTTCTGCAAGATCAACTTTTTTAGATTTCACGGGTGCATGAGATCATGTAAATACTTGTCTTTCTGTGCCTGACTTACTTCACTCAACACAATGATCTCCAGCTCCTTCCATGTTGTCACAAATGACAGGATTGCATTTTTTTATGGATGAGTAGTATTTCATGGTATATGAGTGCCACATTTTCTTTATCCATTCATCAGCTTAAGGTGTTTCTATTTCTTGGTTGTAGTAAATAACACTCCTGGCTATTTCTTGAGCTTGTTCAGCATACTCCTATCTCAGAGCCTTTGCAATTACTGTTCCCTTTGCCTGGAATGTTCTTCATCCAGATCTTTGCAAGTTTTCACACCCTTTCTTTTCTAAAATTATTTTTTGTTTTTGTAGATGGATAGCATGCCTTTATTTTATTTGCTTATTTTTGTACGTGGTGCTAAGCAGTGAACCCAGTGCCTCACAGTGCTAGGCAAGCACTCTGCCACTAAGCCCCAGACCCAGCCCCACATACCCTCTCTATTTTAAGATCTTTGTTCAAATGTCAGTTCCTTAAAGAGACATCTTTGATTACTCTAAAACAGCACCTTCATTCACTCTGTATCTTATTCTGATTTCTGTTTCTTTAGAGTACTTCTAATCTACAAACTGACATATTTATTTTTTCCATGTCTGTCTTCTCTATGAGACTGTGAGCTCCCTGAAGGCAAGGATTTTGTCTTTCTTATTTGCTGTAGTATCTTTGGTGCCTGGAATACAGTCTGGCATACAATAAGCACTCAATTATTGTTTGTAGTCTGGGCATACCAGAAAGACAGTAAGGAAACACAGTGTGTTTCAGGGAATAGAAGATCAGAGGGGCAGAGAAGGTACATGGAGAGAAGGTTAGAGTGCTTGGGCAGGCCTAGAGAATCAAGGCTTTGAATAGAAAGCTCAATGAGATCACACAGCAGTCTCTGTTTCACAAATAGAGTAACTGAGGCACAGATGTTGAGAAAGATTGATCAAGGAAGCAGCTTCCAGGAACACCAGGGGGGGAGGATATAGAACTGGCAGAAGAGACCACTCAGGCAAGGAGTGTTTCTAAGTAGCTGAAACAGTATTGCCGTGGCTGGACTAGTGTGGGGGTGGGCCAATCTGGCAGGGTCCCAAGGTCTCTTGGGGGGTGTGGGGGTGTAGGGTGGAGTTGCTCTGGCAGCAGCACACTGGGGCCTCTGTGTGTGTGTGCTGCCTCCAGCCAGCATACTTTCCACAGAGTCTGCCCAAGAACATTTCCTCCAGCCTGCTTTGCTTAATTTTTAAAAATTTTTCTGGTGTTTTTTCTATTGAAGCAAAAATCCAAATTCTGCCTGACTGTTTGGCCCTTGTATCATTTGACTGCCAACTTTTTGAGTTAGCCCCCATACTCCATACCATTCCTGCTTTTTTTTTAAAATCCCCCTTTGGTTCTGTTGGTCCCCCTTATGCAATGATCCTGGTCCCTTCAAATCTTACCCATATGGAAATTCTGCTTCCAGGAAACCCTCCTGGAGTACCTCAGGGCCTCTCCCCTGTACTTCATGCCTCTGATTCCCCACTGATCCCCTTCTCTAACCTAGCTACTCTGCAGAGCAGCCATAAGAGGATGTTGATGATACAGATTGTTTATGGCATGAGAACTTTCTCTCCACTAACAGGGTTGAGGGTGGCTGATCAAGGGCAGAGATTTTGACTGTGGGGCTCGCTAATCTTTCAGGTCTGAGAGTGTTTACACTCAAAGTCAGAGGCTTTTTTTTTATACTTCACTAGGGTGTTACATAGGCTTATGAGGCCTCCTCTAAGCTTTCACTTTCCTGCTCCTCCTTTCTTGTTTATCACCTTAGCGAAGGTCCTGCCACCTACCAGATATGACAAGACTCCCCCCCCCCAAAATGTAGAGCCTGTCTATATTTACTTACTCCCCACATACAGTCAGGTTATTTCTTCCTCCACTGGTTTCTCAAATTCTACCAGCACTGTAGTGTTCCAGCCTCCACGTGAACTCTGTCCCTATTTCCTTACTCAGTTTCCCAACTTCCTGACTGACCCCTTCAGCATATCCCTACTTCATTATTGTCACTTCTTGCTTATAATCCTACCATGTCTTATCATTATGGGCCATAATTATTTCCAAAGTGAGGTATACATGCCCCTAGGCATGCTACAGACCAATCAGGAGGGAGTGGAACGATTTTAGCCCTCTATTTATAGAGTACTTAATATCATTGCTATAAAATATATTTATATAATGTATACATTAATAAATAAACATATTTTGGGCATATATGACCAAGTTTGTCTTTGATACACAAACACATAAGATAGTCTGGAGACCATAAGTAAAACCCAAGTGCTCATTCTAACATCGGAAGCCTTCCAGAGCCTAATCTTTCCCTACCTCTCAGTGCTCATTTCTGACCATTCTTCTACCTCCTGCTGGTACCCTATGTTCCAGCGGCATAGAAGTACATGCAGTTCTCCTAATGAGGGGAACATCTGTGTGTTTATTCCTTGAGTCCACAGCCATGCCTTCACCTTGCTTGGCTGGTGAACATCTCATATTTCAAGCTTCAGTTTAGGTGTTATACCTCAGCGGTTTTATCCAGCTGACTGGGGTTAGGAAACTGACCACTGTCTCTTTTTGGGTCTCACCTTCCTACCATTCCACATTTGTATTTCTCTTTCTTTATAGCAGACTTTATTAAAATCATCTGTTTCTTTTTCATGTACCTCATTAGACAGTGCTTTTTGGGAGCAGGGACTGTGTGCAATCCATCTTCTTCTTTCTGTTGTACCCAAAGTGCAAGTCACATAGTCAACATCAGGAAATTATTGTTTAAAAAGTAAAGTTAGGGCTGGGGATGTGGCTGAAGCGGTAGTGCGCTTGCCTGGCATGCGCGGGGCACTGGGTTCGATCTTCAGCACCACATAAAAATAAATAAAATAAAGATGTTGTGTCCACCGAAAAACTAAAAAATAAATATTAAAAAAGTAAAGTTAATATTATCAAATACTTATTATGTACCTGACACTGATTTTAGTGTAAATTTCCACATATATTAACTCAGTTAACCCTTGAAAGTGGATTCAAATTTTATCCCTATTTTATATATGCATATAATGAAACTCCAAAGTAAAGTAACTTGTCTTGAGTCCCATAATTAGTAGAGCCAGGATTCAAACTCAAGAAGTCTGATCTCAGAGTGCATTCTCGCAATTACCATGTTCTACTGAAAGAACAAGCAAAAGAATGTATGCTCAAATGAATGAAGTGGTGAATTTGGAACCAGACTTACATAGTGAAATTGGAGATAAAAGCAAGGTGAGGCAGATCCAGGTCAAAGATGGCTTCGTGGGCTTCAGCATGTGGATTGAACAGAACAGAGGTGACCAAGGTGTGGGCATAGCGAGATACCACGGTGGAGCGTATGGAGTAGCTCGTCATCAACAGCTGAGAAAGAAGACAGGAGGAGCATTAGGTAAATTTAATCTTTGTCTTAGGTAGATAGTACTTGAGGTCCCAAAGTTCATGGACTGGTCTCAGAGTACATTGGGGAAGTTGAGGCCCAGAAGGGGAAAGTGGCCTCTATCATTTCTTTAGCGGACATTCTTGATAGTTTAGTAAGCTTTAGCAAATCTCAGAACCAAAGGGTCACAGAAGATTAAGAATCAAAAGACCTCTGCACAAGTGCTTCCCCAACTTTAATGTGTACACAAACCTCCTAGGTATCCTGTTAAAATGCAGATTCTGATTCAGCTAGTCTGGGGTAAGGCCCGAGTCCACCTTTCTAACATACTCTCAGGAGGATGCTGATGCTGCTGGTCCATGATTTCACTTTAGAATGTATACAACACTAACAACACTTTAGAATATAACAGAACATTAGCGTTCATTGAGCTCTACTCTGTATAAGGCATTTAGTCTTTCCTCTTTAAGAGCTCAGGTGTAAAGAATTACATTTCATAAGTGCAATTGTGCACTGCAAGCACAATACACATTTGCCATTCATGATCTTATTTAATCCTGACATCAGCCATATGATCTAAATGCTATTATTGTCCACATTTTACAAATGTGTTAACTGAGGCTCAGAGACTGAGGTCCCACAGTAGATATCTTCTTCTTCACCTTTTCTGAAGTTATGATCCTTCTGCCTATCCACACATAATACACAGTTTATTTCCAGAGTGGGGCAGTGGGAAATGGAGGATATTTAGGATCAGATGGACCTATGTTCAAATTCTCTTTCTACCACTTCCTGTGTCTTAACCTCTGAACATCTGTTTTCTCTTCTTTTTTTTTTAACAAATGGGGATAATAATAGAGCCTGGCTTATAGACATGCTCTGAGGATTAATTGAAACAGTAACTTTAAGACCCCTGGTATAGCACCTGACATGTACTCAGCAAATAGTAATGCTTCTGTGTTCCTAGTTTCTCAGTCATAGGACTGAAGAAACAGACTGAACAGCTTCCCCTACTCCCCCACAAAGACATATTTTTTTTCACAAATCCCAGAGCTTTGTTCCCTCATTCCAGAACTGACCTTTGTGCTTGATGAAGAGGGGCCAGGAGGTCCCTGGCATGTCAATTCAAGGAAAATGGTCAGCAAAAAGCTGACACAGATGAGGTACCTCCACTCAGACATAGTGCCACTTCTGGTCTAGGTCTGCTGTTCACTTCCAGAAGGTCTGAGCCTGATCTCCAAACCCTTGCTCTTTTAAAACTCCAGGTATCCCTTCTCTTGAGAGGGAGGGACCATCCTGAAGGGTGTGGAAGGCTCTGAATGTGGCATTGAAGCCCACACAAGCCAGGATTGTCCAAGAGCTGAGGCTGGCATCTTGCCTGGAGAAGGGCCAGTTCCATGCTTCCCTTTTTCCCCTCATCCAGCTGTAAGATGAATGGAAACTAAACATACCAAAGTGCTGGGTCTGTCTGTTTGCTATGTTGGCTCAGGGTGGGGTTTTTCTTTCCTATAAACATCCAGTGGAGCCCATAACCAGGGCCAAAGGAAGGTCACTCAGCACTGAGCATCTTAAAAAGGTAGCAGAGATGAAAGAGGGGTTGGAGATCCAAGCCCCCAATCTTAGTCCTTTCTGGTACTGACTTTAGTCTTTAGATGAGTGGGACTTACTCAGGGCCCATAACAATTTAGGAGTCCCACAGATGTGACACATGTAATCTCCAGAAGAGTCAGAAGCCAAGGTGGGCTAAGGCAGAGCAGTGGTTCAAAATATAGGCTCTGGACTCAGATCATTTGAGTTTGAATCTCAGTTCTGCCAGCTACTGACTGTGTAATAATGGGCAAGTCAACTAACCTCTTTGTAGCCTTAGTTTCCATATCTGCAAAATGAAATAATAATAGCACCTACTTCATAATGTTGTTGTGAGATTAAGTGAATTTGTACTTTTGGAATGCTCAGCATAAGGTAGGTGTTCAGTAAATAGCTGCCAGGATGAGGGCAAACATCAAAAGTATGGGTAGCTTCTTGTCCCTCCAGTGGCTGAATGAGTTGGGAGACACCAAGTTGAGGTGCTCTGGACTCAGTGTTTGCAGGTCCTATGGAGGGCTGGGTGAAAAGTGAGGCTGAGAAACTGGAAAGTACTTAGAGGTCTGCATGGGGGCCATCAGCATTCATCAGAACCCTTACCTCTCTCCTTTCTACTCGTATAGTTTACACAAGCTTCCAGCACTTACCTTAAGGTCAAAATCTCTGATGACTAACTTCCCCTGGACACTCAGATTTTCCCTATAGAATTTGACATTGAATAACAAAAACCTCTTATTCTGACATTTGGGGGTCCCAAAGCTTGTCAGTTGCCACCTTCCCTAAGTCCACACAAAGTTTCCTGTTGGAATTTCTTCAGAGGGAAAGTCCTAGCTACAGAACAACTTTCTTTATACAGCAACAGAAAAGTTACATCAACTATCCAGTCACTTTCTCTTGAAGATGAATAGATAACCAAGGATTCAGAGGCAAATTAAGGAAGTCTGTAGCACAAGAGCAAAATACTAAAATAAATAGAACAACTGATCCTAGAGCAATTTGAGAACTTGGGAAACAAAAGAGAACTTCAGGGAAAAATGGTAATGTTCCTCAGTGAGATTTTAGACACGCATAAAACAAGAACTAGATGCCACAAAACAGGACCAATCAGAGAAAAGAAAGACTCCTCAGAAATTGAAAACAAGTTGTTAAAATAAAAAAAAGCAACAGACACACTGGAAAGTAACATGGATGAAATATTCCAGAATGTAAGGTAAAAAAATCAAAGAAACAGAAAATATGAGAGAAAATGTTAAGAGATATAGATCAATCTAGCAGGTTCAGCATTTACATAATAGAAGTTCCAGGTCAAAAGAACAGAAACCATGAATAAAACTTTAAAAAAGGCATATTAGAAGTCAATTTCCCACTAGTATTGCAATATGTAAATCAATGGATGTGTAACTGATGTGATTCTGCAATTTGTATACGGGGTAAAAATGGGAGTTCATAACCCACTTGAATCAAAGTGTGAAATGATATATCAAGAACTATGTAATGTTTTGAACAACCAACAATAAAAAATTAAAAAATATATAAATAAATAAATAAATAAGAAAAAGCAGATACATTAACATATGAAGGTAATAAAATTCATATAATGTTATAAATAAAATAAAAATTTTAAGTTATAAAAAAAAAGAAGTCAATTTCCTACAGCTAAAGAAAGATCTGCAGAGCAGGCTCCCAGAACATTGAATCCAGGAAATACTGGATCCAACTCAAACAGTTGCTGCAGCAGTCCCCACACTGGTCCTTTGTCATCCCCTCTTCTGCCCCATCACCCTTTAGTATATTTTCAGATCCTTTAAAAACTCAAGTTGGATCCTCTCTCCTTTGTCCAAAACCTTCTGGTGGATATCACCATGGTTTACACAGCCCTATGTGAGAGGGATTGGCGAGGTGAGCCCTTATTACCTATATGACCTCATTTCCTATTAGTTTCCTCCCTTCCTTTCTCTACCACTGTAACAACTTTGGCTTTTATATTCTTCAAAAATGCCAGGCATGGGGGAAAATGCCATGCACGATCCTGCCCCAGGGCCTTTGCACTAGTTGTTCTTTCTGCTTGGAATATTCTTTCCCCTGTATTCACTTGGCTAGCTCTCTCACCTCATGCAAGTCTTTGCTCACATGCTACCTTTTCAATGAGTCATTCTCTGACCACCTTATTGAGAACTGAAGTAACCTCCTACCTTCACTGGCATTCTCCATCCCTTTTACCTTGCTTTATTTTTCTCCATAACACTTATCTTACATTTTAATTTTATGTGTTTTACATATTTATCTGAATAGTTTTTCTCTTTCCCTCACTAGAATTAGCTCAGTGAATTTCTTACTTCTTCACTGCTGTAGCTTCAGCTCCCAGAACAATGCCTGGAACATAGTGAACACTCAATAAATATTTGTTGAGTGAGTGAATATAATAAAAGCAATGCAACTCAAGGAAAAAGTTATTATAAACTCTGTGTGTATAATTATGCAAGAAATTCGTGGTTGAAATGTAAAACAAAATAGAATATGACTATATGCAGTTAAAAGAAACTCCATTTGACCTTGTTTGTTGCTAGAAACATTCTCCTTTGACAGGCCCAGAGATTGTGACATTGGGCTTGTACAGAAGGAAGTGTATTCGTGGCTCACTACTTGGCTGGACTTTGAAAAATATTTACATAGCCATGATAATGTAAATGTTGTTTGTTGGTTTTTCAGATTTTTTGAGTCAATCATTAGAGGAAGACCTAGTGTGGCTACAGAACAGAATGTAAATATTAATAATCCGGATAATGCAAAAGCAAAGATAAAACTGATAGTGAAGGACTTTGAATGAGCAGGAGGAGGTAAGTGTCCCTAGTATCCTTGCCTCAAAAGTGGGCAGTTAAAAACAACTTTCAAAAATGGATAGAATAAGAAATGAGGGTCTGAGTATTTTTTTTCAAGATACAAAATTAACCAATAACAAAAAGGAATATTGATGCTAACCATTGCAGGGGTTTAGAAGTAAAAGTGAGGGGGCAGTGTACATAAAATTCTCATTGGTATTTTTGGAAGTGGATAGGATATTGTCTAAATTTTATAAACCAAGAAACACTGCATACATATTATCTATAGAGTTGTGAAGGGAACCACTGGGAAAACTAAAGCCAAAAAATCTTTAAAAAAATGGTTTGAAGGGATAGAATGGAGATGGGGATAGTCAAGGCAGGGGACTATTTTCATCACATGCTTTTCTGTATTGTTTGATTTGTTGCCATGTAAACTCATGAATTTAATAAAAATCAAATGTTAAAAACCTTATGTTGATCACACAAATGAAATAATTATATACCCTATTGAACTTTATGACAATATCCACATAAGCATATGGTCATCCAGTTAGACTTGCTTCCATAGATGAAAATCATATGTAATATGTCTAACATGTTTATGAAGAGGGTTGGTGTATTACCTTGTTTTCTATTTCTATGACAAAATACACAAGGCTGAGTACTTTATAAAGAAAAGAGACTTATTTAGTTCAGTTTTGGAGGCTGAAAGTCCAAGATCAGGTGGCCCCATCTGTTTCTCATCTGGTGAGAGCCCCCTTGAATGCATGAAAACATGGTGCAGAAGACATCTTGGTGGGAGAACATGCAAGAAGCAGAGATCATATGGCAAGACAGGAAGCCAGAGAAATTCAGGGGCAAAGCTAACCCATTCTTGCAGAAACTTACCAGGGCCTCATGAGAGCTACATTAACCCCTTTTAAGAGTGGTGCCTCTAAATGACCCAATCAACTTCCACTAGGCCTCACCTCTTAAAGGTTCCACTACCTCACCATCATCACTCTGAGGCCCAAGTCTTCGGCACATGAACCCTTGGGGGACAAACTACATCCAAATAAAAGAGTTGGAAGGAATATTCTGGAACTAGCCTAATGTAGAGGCTAAGGGTACGGTATTTTGCATCCCAGTGATCTGGGTTCAAGTCCTTTCTATGCCACTCAATAGTTGCTTTCCTTGGGACAATTTACTCTTTTTATTCCCTAATGTTGTCCTCTGTAAAATGAGGCTGGTGTTCATACAGCAGAAATGTAAGTCTTTTATAAGCAATGGCCACCTCTGAAGAGACACCTAATATGTAGTTGGTCCTCCTTTTCTGTTGAATGGGTCAATCTTGCCTCACAGCCTTGTTCTGAGACAGGAATCTATGTACAAAAAGCAGGGGAGAAGCAGTGTTAATCCAAAAGTAAGTAGTGGATTTTCTTATCTACAGGGAATTTCCTGTTTTTTTAACAAAATATAGTTGTGTTGTTGTAGATATATGGCCCTCAGGGTTTAGAGTGACACAAAGTGAGTTAAATTGCCTTACATATATAAAAGGGTAAAAAAAGATTCCAACAGCAGATCAAAGAGAGGACTTAGGAGCCTGGAAATGGAAAGCAGTGGAGCTGTCAGTATGTTGGAGGACAGATAGGGCTCACAGGAATCGGGATTGGCAACCAGGCTGTAAAGAATAAGAAAGTATTATGTCCAATTTAAATTTAAATTTGCTGTGCTGTACAGCTTAGATGATTAAAGAAATAATAGGAATCATTGGAAGGAAATCTTTGTCACCCTCT